CCCCCCATCCAGAGTGGTGGGGCCTCACCCACGCAGGCACGGGCACCCCAGGCTGAGCCCACCCTCTGTCCGCACCCCACCCCTCCCCACAGGCAGCACCCCCAGGCCCCTCCCACACCCCGGCACAGTCTGTCTTTGCGAGGATGAGAGAAGAGGCTGGTCCTGGCCTTTGAGACAGCTCTGAGTCGTTAGGGCAGGGAACTCAGGTCCACAGATATTTGGCACACATATATCCAACAAAGGACAAATATGCACAGGACATAAAGAACTTCTGCAAATTAATGGGGAAAGGACAAATGGTCCAGTAGGAAGTGTGCAAAAGGCTTTGAGAGACATCATGAAAGAGGAAAGCTCAAAGCCAATAAGCACATGGAAAGATGTTTAGTCTTGTCAACAGGGACATGCAAATCAAAACCACAGGGACATAGGACTCTCCCATCAGACTGGCAAAAATGTAAAAGCCTGGCAATACAGAGTGTTGGCAAGGAAGTAGATCAAAGGGGACTTAAATCCCCTGCTTGGTGGAGTGCAATTGGTACAACCACTTTGGAAAACAGTTTGGCATTATTTAGTAAGACTGAACACATATACATCATAGGACCCAGCAATTCCACTCAAGAGTGTGTGCCCATGAAAAATTCTTCTTTCTGCACATCAGGAGAAATGTACAAAATTGGTTTTAGAAGTATTGTTTGTAAAAGGAAAAAAGTGGACACAAACCAAATGTCACTAACAGCAAAATAGATAAATTGTGTTATATTCGTAAAACAAAATACTACTACACAGCAATGACAACAGATGGGCTACAGGCACATGCATCACCATGAACGGATTTCACATGCTAAGCAAAAAAGGCAAGTCCCAAAGAACAGGGCAAATGACTCCACTTCTGTAAGGGTCACCACCAGGCAAAATTAAACAAGCTGCTCTTTAAGAATACATGCATGGATGATAAAACCTTAAGCACGGGATGTGCATCACAAAAGTCGGGATCGAGACACAGGGATGCCTAAGGAACTCAACCTGGCTATTTGTTCTTTTTAAAAAAATTCTCATTCTTTGAAATGTGCATATATTCTATACTCTTTTATATGATTTATATATTTTGTAACAAAAATGGAAAAAACTAAGAAGCTGGAAAATGGGGTGTTTAACTTCAAAAAGAACCAAAAAAAAAAAAAATGTGCAAGGAAGTCTTAGAAGGGAACAACACTAATGCAGTCATAAAAAGGCAAAGTCCAGACTGGCCCGGCTTCAGCTCTACTGGGAAGGGGACAAACAGAACCCAGGGTCCCATAGGAGTGAATCCCGCCTCCCATGACAGGAAGCAACTGATGATTATCCAAAGCTCATAAACCCAGAAATCAACATTTAAACGTGTTATTTAGAAAAATGGGGAAATATACACGAAGAAACAGCCGAAAGAATTTGAAAGAGGGGAGCGGAGCATGGGACACGGAAGAGCTGAGTTTTATTATATGGCTTAACTGCATGTTTGTTGAATATGAAATACTAACAAATATTTGTTGAGAGGGTTGCAAATAGGCCCTTGAGAAATACAAATTAAAATATTTCGGTTTTTTGCACATCAAATTGGTGAAAATGATAGATTGGTGACACAGTGTCAGTACATGGGTGAAGCAGCTAGCACTTGCCTGTGCCACTGGTGGAAGTGAACATTGGTACAGAAAAAAAACTTTTTGAAGTGCAACTGGGCAGCATCTGTCTAGATTTGAATTGAGCCTACCCACTTCTTACACATATATGTACAAAGACAACCACTGTTTATAACAGAGAGGAAAACCTGGAGGTGATCTAGCATCAACAGCTGATATGTGAATCTTGAGTGGATCAGGGAACACAATTCCAAGCACCAACATGTGCCAGGCACTTCCTCAGCATCGGGCCTGCGGCAGGGAGCAAAACAGACCCTCCACTCTGACGGTGCTCCTGTCTGGAGAATGCGTGTCCCTGGACACCAGGAACCGCATGCAAAGGAATCCAGGCTCTCCGCGGTTGCCTTGGCTAAAGCTCTGTGACACAGTGTCGTCTAAAAAGCAAGTTGCAGACAGAGCCAGTGGCTGATCCCACTCAGGAAAGCATGCAGGCCCCGCTGCAAAGGCAGTGAGTCCGGGGGAAATGTGGGGAGAGGACGTGCGGGTTGGGGGAGAACACCCACTTTTTACTACCTTTAATTGTATCACTGGGATTTTTACAGCCATAATATACACATGCATTTCTTCTCTATTTTTATGGTGTTTTGAAGAGACTGTGAACCTATTTTTGCGTTTGGAGTTGGTTCAAATTGAGGTTGAGGTTAGGGATTATTTCTACAGGTTTGGGGGTGCTCGATTAGAGTCAGAAGATTTCAGTTTAGGAATGGGGTTTGCACTAAAAGACCCTGTAGAGCTGGGGTAGACACCTTGGGTTAGGATTTGAGGAGAGGGTTCAACATGTGGATCAGGATTTGGGATAAGCTGGGATTTGAGGAAGCCCAAGACAGGACGGGCTGGGCTGGGATCGGAGTTTGAATTGGGATGTAGATTTCCCAACTAGGCTTACACCAGGGAGGGGGCAAAGGGAGGGTGTGCACACGGACAAAGGGGCTCTAGGCTCCCAGGCCCTGCCCCACCTCAGGCTGAGGGTTATTTCTGTAGCAACCCGAGGAAGGCGCCTTCCCAGGGAGGGGGCAAAGGGAGGGTGTGCACTCGGACAAAGGGGCTCTAGGCTTCCAGGCCCTGCCCCACCTCAGGCTGAGGGTTATTTCTGTAGCAACCCGAGGAAGGCGCCTTCGAGGATGCTGTGGCCTGGGGACAGGGCTCGCTCGTTGGGCCCCATCCGGGCCTGCAGCGCAGCGTCTTCTCAGCTTGTTCACAAGCCTGCGTCACCAGGAACCTTTCACCACCGCCTGGGACAGAAGGTTCCTCTTTTGGCAGTCCCCTCTGGGCAGAAGGGGCATGCACCCAGCCGGCACTCCAGCTGGAGCAGGGTCCTGCAGGGCACATGGGCAGCGCGCCACCCACACCACTGTCATACATCTGTCCGTCACCCACCAACCCACCTGTACTCAGCCCTCTTTCCACACACCACCCTGCACACACCCACCCCAGGAAGTGCCACCGCTCATGTAAGTATTTACCTACCTGTTCACTATCCATTCCTGTCACCATCCACTATCCGCTGGCTGACCGGACAAAATATTTACTGAACATCTTTGTATGCTGGGCTCTGTGCATGTCCTCACGGGACCTACAGGACAGCAGAAGAGGCACGCCCACAGAGGCTTTTGTGAAGTGACCATTGCTTTGGGGGCACAATGGAGACATAGCCCAGGCTCAGGGGCCAGGAACGGCTGGGATGAGCCATGGACTTCCAGGCTGAGATTTAAAGAAAGGCTGGGACTGAGCAAAAAGGAAGACAGAGGCCAGTCCCTTGGCAAGGGCACAACAGAGGCAAAGTCCTGGAAGCCAGGTGGGATCTCAGCAGAGGGCATGGAGGGGCCGGGGAAGAGAGGCCTGACCCGAAAGGCCTGGCAGCTGCCCCACAGGGCTCGGGCGTCAGCTGGGGCAGCGGTGCCCCCGAGGAGTTTCTTCTTCTTGTTTACTGTTTTATTAATGACAGAAGTAATACAATTCTACAACTTCATTGTAAAAAAAAAAAAAGAGATCAACAGGGAAAAAAAATAATCAGCGGTAATCCCACCACGCAGAGATACTGTTTTGGTGTAGGTGCATATATGAAGATTTCCGCAGCACCCATGCAGGGGCCAGCGCAGTGCTCCTCGGGGCTGCACGGTGGGGTGAGCCGTGAACAAGACCCCCTGCCTCCCACAGCACCCAGTGTGCAGAGGACACGAAGGAGGGTGCTGTGGTGTAGCAGACACTGCTGGTGACCAACCCAAGGTCCCTTCAGACCCTCCTGTCTCCTTCCTAACACAACTGATGTTGACCAGGCTCCCACCCTGGCCTGGGCCACATGCCTCAGGGCTGGGTCCTCCCACAGAGCTCACATTCTCCATCCAGCCGCAGTTGGTTTAGGCAGGCAGAGGAGACACCACGAGAAGTGTCCTGAGGGGCTTCTCATGTGTGAGACAATGCTTCCTTGATAGTTAAGTCATTTCTAGAAGAGTTTTGCATTTCTTGAAGCAAAATACAGGAACCATTGTTGAGACCTACCAAGTCCTGGGCTCCCGAGGCTGACCACGCCCTCCTGTGGAGCACCCTGCTTCCTTGCATCGCCTTCCTTCCTTCCCACAGCTGGTCTCACCCTTTCATTTCCTCTATGCTCACAAGCCTGGTCTAGTCTCAGTCCCTCTTCCTCACTGACCACAGTCCCTTAGCCACCTGGAACCCTGCAGGTTAAACCTGTGGCCCCCAGGCCTCTGATCCAGACCGGTTCCATTCAGTTTTCTCCCCTGTGTGCTGCATCCCCCATCCTGGCAGTTTCCTGAACGGTGGTGTCGGGGCTGGCTTTGATGACCTAGCCTGCTCCAGAGCTGAGGAAGAGAATGGGGTCACTTCCCCCGCCCCACTGCGGGCTGGCTCCACTCCAAGGCAGCAGGACGGAGCCGTGGCCCAGCACCTCTGACGACTGTCACATGCACTGTGTCCTCCTCCTCATCACCACCCACCACAGCCCCAGCAGATCCCGAGCCTGCTCTTGCCCGGCAAAGCCAGGTCACTGACAAAGCCGGCGGACGCTTCATCCCTCTCACGTGGCCTCTCCAGAGCACTTGGCAATGTGGGCCACCTTCCTTCCCTTCCTTCTTAACGTCTTTATTGAGATAGAATTCACATACCAAAACTTAACCCACTTAAAGCGTGTTGACTATATTCACAGAGTAAATCTAATTTTCGCCATAACCTAATTTGAGAACATTTCCATCACCCAAAGAAAACAGTTCCATATCCATTAGCTATCACTGCCCATCTGGTCCATTTCCATTTTCATACATTTGCAGAACTGTGTTACATGTGGCCTTTGTGACTGGCATCTTCTTCTTGGCATAATGTTTTCAAGGTTCATCCATGCATTTATCAGTATTTTATTTCTTTTTATTGCCAAATAATATTCCATTGAATAAATATATCACATCATTAGCTACTGGACATTTGGGCTGTTTCCACTTCTTGGCTATCATGACTGATGCTGCCATGAACATTCGTGTACGAGTTCTTGTGTGGACATGTCTTCGCTTTCCTTGGGTGTCTGCCTAGGAGAACTGCTGGGTCATACGGCAAGTCCACGGTCACGGTGGGAGGAGCTGCCAGACTGTTTTCTGACATGGCTGCAACATTTCACGTTCTCACCTGCAGGACATGAGGACTCTAATCTCTTCCTGGCCTCGCCATCACTGACTTTCACGGTAGCCGTCCTCGCGGGTGTGACTGGTCTCACTGCGGCTTTGATGTGCATTTCACTAACGACCTAAGTTGGTGGCCATCTTTTCACACGCTTATCGGTCATTTGTATGTCTTCATGGGAGCAACGTCTACTCGGCCCACTCTTAATCATGTTACTTGTCTTTTTATTATTTAGTTCTAGGAGCTCATTACAGATTTTAGAGACAAGTCTTGAAAATATTTTCTCCCATTCTTGCTTTTTTAACCGTACGGTATAGACCACAAACGTTCTGAATTTTGATGAAGCTCAACTTTTTTCTCTCGTCACTTGTGCTTTTGGTGTCAGAGTTAAGAAATCATTGCCTAATTCATGTCACGAAAAATAAAACTCCTGTGTTTTATTCTAAGAGTTTTATTAGAGTTTCAGCTCTGACATTTAGGTATAAAAGCCATATTGAGTTCGAGTCTGTGTACGATACAAGGTGAGGTCCAACCTTCTTCTTTTGCGTGTGGATATCCACTTGTCCCAGCACCACTGACTAAGAAAACAATTCTGTCCCACTGGACGGTCTTTGCAATCCACCTCTTGTATCTGTTCCTCTGACTTTCTAAAGAACAAGCTTGCCTGATTTTCTTCCTACCTCTCGGCTGTCCCTACTTCTCACCGCAAACATTGCCGAGGCGATCTCACCCACTCTGCACGCCAACCCTCAGACACACGCATGTGACCTCACGCTCAGCCCACCTAAAACTGACCACACTCCTCCTCCCTGCCAGCACAGGTCCTCCAGGATGCAGACACCATGACAGAAACGGGCATGCAAGAGATTTACTGGGAGAAATGCCTGTTCAGACAAAGAGGAGAGAGCAAAGGGAGGTGGGTACGAGAAGCCAGGCTGTGGGGCAGCTCTGGGAAGGTCTTGACCAGGCTGGTGTAGAGCTTGCCGGTTGGAGGAGTCCCGCGTCAGGCAGAAACGGCCCAGCTCCCGTGAGCCCACAGTCATCGGTTGGGAGCAGCCTCGGCACGAAGCTACGCTCACTCCAAGTGCGCAGTCACAGGAGCTGTGAGCCAGCGACACTCCTCGCAGGTCCTCTCTGCAAAGCACACAGGCCCGCCCAGCCGTTTCCCCATCTCAGCGAACGTGCTCGAGCTACCGAGTCCAGTTACCTCTTCAGCCCACAGCCAGTCTGTCCATCCTGCCTCCAGAACCCAGCTCGCATCATGCCTCTCTCTGTCCTGACTGCCTCTATCTTCATCCACATCACAGTTATCTCTTGCTTGGAAACAGCTACCACCTTCTAGCACCTTCCCTGCCTCTGGGCTTGCCCTCTCGTCCAATCCATCCTCCCCGCAAAGCTAAAGATCAAACTAAATAGCAAATCTGAGCATGGCCTTGCCTTCCTTGTACTGCACGGGCAGTAATGGAAGACCCCGCCCCATCGCCTCTGAAACAACATTCTAGCCCTATGCAACCTGGAGGGCACCTGCACACCTTTCCCGGTGCCCCTACATGCCCTCACCTTCACCACTGCACATCCTGCACTCCTGTCCCAATGTCATGAGCTCGGCCTCACACTCATCCCTGCTCCTGGAATTCCTTGAATCACAGCCCTCAGTTGCCTATTTAGATCCTATTCATTATTGAACCTGATCCAAACAATGCCACCCCCAGATGATCCAAGCCCACTGAATCTTACTCTGGACTCCAACACTTTTTACCTTCTTTATTATCTGTGAACACTATTTCTCTTGTGCTGCAGTCACATGTGTATGCCAGGGAAGTGGACACACTGACAGTCACCACTGTGTTTTCCCCGCAGTCCAATCAAACTGTCAGTGCAGCATGTGAAGTGCAGACAGCACAGACTGCAGTCCTTCCCATAGAAAGCCCATCTCACCATGAAGTTACGTAGACATGGTTTAGTCATTGCCCATATCCAATAACCTCTGAGCAAAAGGAAAGTCCATACGCAAGAGGTCCAGGCACTTAAGGCATTTTACCCGGAAGGTGACTGTCCAGCCCTGATGTGGCTCATGAGAGCCCCCGTGTCCTGCCTGCTGCAGGCTTATTCCATTCTGCTTCACATGGAGCCTCCAGACATCAAAGTGTTCACAGGGATGCGCTGCGTGTTGTCCCAATCCATTTACAGCTGTGAGCTGCACCACGCCTGATTTCTAGTCAGCTCACGTTACATGGGCCCGGATGTCAGGCCTTTGGAGGCCAACACCCCCAGGTAGGGCTGGGGAGGGAAGATACCTGTGTGAACCACAGAGTCCAGCTCTAGCCCAGGGATGAGACCTTCTGAGAGCTCCTCTCCCCAGGCCAGCGGGAACAGGCGCAGGGGGTGGTGAATAGTCTGAGCTGTCAAGTCAGACTGCCTGGGCTTGAATCCCAGTTCTGCCACTTATGGGCTGTGTGGCCTTAGGGAAATGGCTTCATGTCTCTGATTTTCAGCTTCCTTGCTGAAATAACTAAGGCACGGCCGGACGCTTGTAGGCAGGGGTGCACACAGCAGGGGAGGAGCAGAGCTAGAATCTGGACCTGGCCTGGACTGATGATGTGACACCATCAGATGGTGTCTGACGAAACATCATCAGAGTTTCAAAGAGAAAAATTTAAAGCAGGGAATTAGCTACACCGTATGGAAGTAACTAATTGCGGAATGGTAAGGCCGTCAGGAACTGGCCCGACTGGGGCTGCAGGCCCAGGAGGCGGTGGCATTGCTGGAGCCTGGGAGCTGGGGCCACGCAGGCCTGCCCACAGCAGCCGAGGCCCAGAGGAGCCAGTCACACCGGGGACGGAGGGGGTGGGGGCGAAGGGGCAGAGTGAGGACACGCGGGGCCTGGCTATTCCACTTCTCCCACCTGCTGGACCTGCCCAGCCACCAGAGGGCAGGGGGCGCCTGGGAAAGGAGGCAGGCAGTGACTTTCCAGAGAGGAAACCCTGAACTGAGTCTTCAGAAACAAGTAGAGATTCGGAGCAGAATAAGAGACATCACAAAAAAAGCGAAGGGAAGAAGCCAAGACAAGAGTTGTGGAACTGCCTGTCTGCGACGTCACAGGGATGACAGCGAGACCAGGTGCCGTGGCAAGAAGACACAAGCTGCTCTCATGGGCCTCTGCCATTCTGGTAGACCTCTTAACGCCCTTCTGGGTTGTGAGGGACCCCCCCCCATTGTCTGAGTCCCCACCTCCCACCGTAGAAGCCAGAGACTTGTATGGAAGGCACACAGTGCAGACAGGTGACCCCTGGTGCTGCCAGTCAGAAGCACACAGTTAGACACCAGGTAACAGCCACGGTGTGTCCACCAGGACACACCTGCAGCCGGCTCTGGGCCCCCCCAGGCTACCCCATCTCTCTGCTTGGTTCCCTGTCCTCCTGTGCATTCTGGGAGTGCCCCATGTCTCCTTCCCCTTTAACTGGCTGCAGTTCACTTCCGCTGTTTGTTCCCAAGAACCCAGACTGACACACCTTCTTCGAGGAGGAAAATATGAAATCAGAAACACAAACTTTCAATAATCAACCACATTGTATATTATTAAAATAAAAAATTTTAAAAAAGAAACACAAACTTTCCCCATAAAAAGATTATTAGCTTTTCCAAAAACACTTTATTATGAAAACTTTCAAACTTCAAACACAGAAATGTTGAGTTTTGTGCTGAACAGCACTGCACAGGCTCTACAGTTAACGTGCCAGCACACCTGCTTCATCACAAGTCTATTTTTAGTCTACCATCTCTCCACCCCTCCATCCCTCCATCTTATTTTTTAAAGTAGCTTTGTATCAGTAAATGGTGTTTCTAGTTAAATTTGTTAGGCCAAGATTAAAAGTTCCAAATCAGTCCATGTTTCCTAAATGGTTTTCTTTCCAATCTTCTAAACAATCGAGAGCCAAAACAAAGACAAGCACACACAAACTGACTAGAGACTTCCTCTCACGAAGCGCACCTGCAGAATTCTTAGGCTTTCTCCAAAGCTTGTGCGTCACTGTTTTGGATAACTGCATAAAATTATAAGCACGTTCTGGTGAGCGGCGACGTCGACGTGTGTCTGGTTAGGAGCAGAGACGGGACTCTGCCGCCTCACTGCAAAGCCCAGCTCTGGTCGCCCCGGCTCCCCCTGGAAAGCAAGGGTGAGGACTGAGCCTACTCGGCGCGGCAGTCGAGCCGGTTCACGGGAGAATTTGTGCCAAGGACGCAGAACAGTGCCTGGCACGTGGAATACACTCTGTAAGGGCTCCTGCGGAAATTCACAGCAGTTGACAAGCTTACCTGTTGATGACAATGAACCGGCAGTATCCTCAGCAGCCTTCTCTCTTTGGGCTCCCAAACGTGTCATGAAAACTCCTGGTGTTTAAGATAAACTATTTTTAAAACATTTGCTTTTCCTTCCTCCCTGAGTCACTAGCTCGTGCAGTGCTTCTCACGTTTCGCTGAACCTAAACCGAAGCGCAGCTTTCGCTCTGCTCCTCCTCGCCGGTTTGTAGGGAGGTGACTGGAGAGAGAGGAGCTGGGCTGGGCCAGCTGGGACGCTGACGGCATAAGGAGCCTCCGGACCCCGGCGGTAAAGGGGGCCACTTGAGTTTTCAGGGCGTGTCACACTAGCTGCTCTGACACACACACGCAGTGCACACGCACACATCACGGATATGGCCCTTCCTTGTGCAAAGCCCGCTGTGGGTATTGTGGGGTGGGGCACTGTCCTCCCGTGGAGTTCGGGGATCTCCGCTCCTTCCAGCTCGGGGAGCCCGTCCTCCCTCCCACCCTGGCTCCAGGGGGACCGTCTCCTCACCCGCCATACGTACCCTGGACAGAGCCATGAGCTGCGGGGCTCTTACCGGGACCACAAGACCGGCCTGCAAGCTGCTCCAGAGTCCCCAGAGACCCCTGAATGTCCCTGAAAGGACAGCGCAGTCCCCTGTGCAGGAAAGGACAAGGTGTACCCTCGCTCCGCACCGTGCACCCCGGAGGCCCCGCTCCGCGCTCGTCACCCGGGGGATGAACGACTCTGCGGAAGGAAGCCGCCATCCTGGCCAGGTCCTGGGCGGGCGGCGCGCGGAGACCCCGGGGCTGCAGCCCCGCCCCCCGCCCCGCCTTTGTGATGTCACGGCGGCGGGCGCGGTTGCCATGGCGACGCAGTCGGGTCCGGGGCCACGGGGCTTAGGAGCAGCCGGCGCGGGCAGGTGCGTGTGCGCGAGGCGAGTGGGCG